CCAAATTTTTCTTTAACGGAGAGTCTCCAGACTAATTAGCGAGTAAAATCTTGAAAACTCGCAAGATCAGGATGGTCTCACGAGGCTAAGCTCCAGCACCAGTAAGAAGAAAAAAACTCTAAGAAATTTGAGGCAATATCTAAATCAGCACCACAAAAATTAGATTGTTTTTATAGTTTTTATGTTGAAACTGCTCAAATTATAGCAGCTATTTTATTTCTATAGCTCTATACTGCTAAATGTTATGTAAAATGGGTAAAAAAAAAATGAAATGTCGGAACTGTAACTATACAGTCATATGTTTACATCACTTTTTTTCATCACAATGATTTTATCACTGCTGCTTACCTGCACTTAAAAAATTAAGATAGTCTAGAGAGCTGTACTTAATGAAATTTCTTTTTGTTTACAAAATAAAAATCTGTCTAAGTCTAAGAACTGTTTCTTTGTCTTGAATCGTGTTTTTGGTAATTATGAGAATTTGAGTGGTTTTTTTATAGCCCCCAATATTAACTTTTTATTCTTGTGTAAATATGTATCTGATCACATTCTTTTCTTTTATATTTTTAGAGTTTCTGCTGTGTTTGGACAATAAATCTGTTAGAAAAAAAAATAAAAAAACACAATTTCCTGCTTGTTTTTGTGGGTTTAATCTTCTGGGCGACCAGCTCTTGTTTTTCTACTTCCCTGGAGGTCACAGATGACTATTATTAAAACAGGCCAGCAAACAAGAATCTGATGCGAAATACAAACCTGGTTCATGGGTCTAATTTCGTCCCACTCGTTCTTTTGTGGATTGTAAACATCAACATCGGCTGAGTCATCCCTGCAAATAGAGACAGGCTGTTATTGGGCTTTAAGCTCACTCTGCTGACAGCTGGAGCTTTGATGACTCCTTCATCCTCCTAAATTCTTCCATGGGAGAAAAATGCTAAGATTCAGACATTTTAAAACACTGCTCACATAATTAAAAAAAGATGAGTGCAACAAGAGATTTTCTTTGTTAGAATTAAAAATGAAATCCTTGACAAACTTTGATGATAACTGAACCATTAGCTTCACCAGCAAAAACATTTTTCATAGTAAAAAATTTGAGTCAATTGAATCACCAAAAACTACCCTAATATGGCAAAAAAAAAAGAAAAAAAAAAGAGTGCCTCTGTGAGAAAAAAACTTTCAGAAAGAAAGAAAAAAAATGTTGCAACACAACCAGAATTAATGCTGATACGGGCACTTAAATGTTTTACTTTATAATTTAGATTAGGAACTCCACAGTAAAAAAAATCAATCCACTGGATTTTGTTTCCAAGTTTGAAGACGTTTCGCTTCTCATCCAGGAAGCTTTTTCA